GGTCCAGAAGCAGCTGGCTCTGAGACAGGAAGGCAGGGCCAAGGGCAGGGCCAGAGGAGGTGGACCTTTAGGCCACCACCCCCCCACACACACCCTAACTGCTCCTTCCCCTCCACAGCTGCTCCCCAATCTGCCCTCTGTAACACACCTCTACAGGAAAGGCTCCTTGCCATATTGTGTTATTTAGGGGCAGGAAGTGGATGAGCCAAATTAACTCGCAAGTAGGAGACAAGGAAGGGAGGTGTGTCATCGTCTCCAGGAACTCGTGGAGAGAATCAACTGATTACCCTCTGCACCACCAGCAAGTGGGATCGCTCAGGCCTCCTCCTCTCCCCTCATCCCGGCAGAGGCAGAGAAACGTAGCACCCTATAAACGGTGGGGGACGGGAGCTCTGTGTCTCTTCGCCACACTGTTGGGAAGGTACCGGCAGCACCGGCCACCTCTCAGATCTGCCCTCAATCAGCAGCGCTCCCTCGGCAGGGCCCTTAGCGTCTCTGCAGGGCTGCTTCTGCCGCCCACACCCTACCTACCACGCAAGCTCTGTCTGCTGCCACAGCCCACACCTCCTAGAAAAAGTCCCTCAAAACTAGGATAATGGGAGCTTAGGAAGTGGGCAGTGACAATTTTGTTTACTCCTTTAAAATCTGCCATTTCAAAAAAATTCTAATGGTTTTCTGATGAACACAGGAGTGACTGATTCACAGATGGCTGCCATTCCCGGGTCAGAGTGACATTTCGGTCTCCGAGGATGCGCAGGAGGGGGCTCCTGAGCCACCAGGGCCCCCCTCCTGGCTTCGAGCGAGACACATCCTTGCAGGGGAGATGCAATGCTCTGGCAGCACTGATGCATGGGCACACAGCTTGCAGGGCTCCCTGGAGGCCTCTGTGGACCTTGACCGTCCATGCAGACGCCTTGTTCCACAGGGCCAGCCATGAGCGGTGCCCCCAGCAGGGTCACTGACAGATGATGGAGACCCTGCTCCTTCAGTTAGTTCGCATCCGCGCCACACCTTCCTGTCCGTGGCTGCAGGAAGAGCCTCAGATGTGTGTCTTTATGAAAACCCCGCATCAGGGCAGCCCAAGGACTGATTTCACCCTCTTGGGAGAGAAGAGCCTCTGCTACGCACAGGTGTCTTTAAAAGATCAGCAGGAGATAGGAGAAGTGCGCTGGGCTTCGGTCTGCAGCCAGGTGGCTTCATGTGGGCAGATCTAGTTTCCAAAGCTGGAAGGAAGGGTTTTGAATGTTTTCACTACAAAGAAGTGATAGTTTGAGGTAATAGATACACTCACCCTGACTTGAGCATTATACAGTGTGTACAATGTATCAAAACATTATAGAATACCATATGGTGATCAAAATATACAGTGAAAGACAGTGCACTGATTCCTCTCTGAATACTCCTTCTCCCATCAGGCATGCTTAGTCCATCGTTCTTGCTGCTTTTTGTTTTTTGAACGTAGGAGCTCAATGTGGTGCGTGCTGCCCTTGAACTCACAGTGATCCTCCTGCCTCAGCCTCCCAAATGCTAGTATCACAGGCCTGTGCACCACCGTGCCTGACTCTTGTTGCTTTTTGGACCTCTCTGGAAGTCTTGTTTCATGAGTGTCTTCATGAGGTGTGATCAAAAAGTATGGTGAATGCTACAGCCCGTGCCATGCAGCAGAAAGGCAGCTCGTAAGCTCTACACTGTCCGCACCCACCTTGTTCACTGGATCTATCCCCTATGACTTCCGGCTCCTCCTCAAGTTCAGAAATGACTGTGAAAGCAAATCCATTCAGGACATGAAGGCAGCCAGGATAGTGCTGCTGAAGACTCTCAGGAGCGAGGACTTTGGCTGCCGCAGGGAGTGGCAAGGATGACGGGATGGAGTTTGAAGGGAGAGGAAGGGTCCGGAGGATTTGGTAGCCCCGAATCTTTAATGTAATAAAACTTTTATTCACTGTATTTTCCAACCACACCTCATACTTTCACGTATCAACTTCCAAACTGCAAAAGAACTAATATTGGCTAAAACTCCCAAAGAGCATCCCCAAGTACTCCCAGACCCTGAGGATACAATGCCAAATAATGCACGGTAGCTTGGTCCATGGGGGCTGTGAGGTCCACCGGGCAGCTGAGCAAGGGTTCCCAATGGAACAGCCACCTGTCACCCAACCTGTCCAGCTCTCACCTTGTCTTGGGGGACACCTGTGTGCACCTAGACTTCTGCACTCTTTTGGAAGCTTTGTGCTCACTCCTCTTCTACCAAGCCCCCAGGTCTACACCAAAGCTCTGAGGTTTCCCATGGGGCAAAGAGGGTCCCCTGAACTCCTGCACTTCCCTATTGTGAACCACATTCACCCGGCTTTTCTTGCTTTCTCCTTCCCTCAGCGATTTTCCACCATACTCTAGTATACCCTGGCAGGTCCCCCACTGTGCCCGAGACCCATCTTACACGACAGCCTCATCACCCTTTTCTTTCTTCCTAATCTGACTCCACCTTCCCCAAGCCCTCCCCGCTGTGTGTGAATCCTCCTGGGTTCTTCCCTGCTATGCATAAGGCTCTGAGTACCACAAAAAAAAAAAAAAAAAAAAAAAAAAAAAAAAAGGTGTAATTTTTGTGCAGCAGGTACTGAGTTTATCAAAGTCAAAACAGATTTCAAAAAAATGTCTTGGTACAATTTAGACTTGATCCTCCTTCTATCTTCCAGCAAATTCCAATGGTTTGCCAGGAAAATGTCCACGTGTTTCTAAAAGGGCCCCCTGGCGTGGCTGATGTGTCTATGGAAGCTTCCTCCCCACCACTGCCCACACAGCTGTGCCCAGGCGTGGCCTGCTCTGGCCCTGCCCTTCACCACTGCCGGTTTCTATGCCTTTCACTCCCGCTCTGGGATCCCCGGAAGCAGTCCTGCTCCTCCAGCAAGCAAGCTTGCTGGATCCTACCTACCCCAGTTGCACTGCCTGCTCATGTTGGAAACTGTTCCTTGGCCACAGTCCTGTTCCTGCATGGAGGACAAGATACTTTCATGTCCCCCAAACCTCACACTGTGTTCTAGATGAGCACACTTTGGTTTTTCGTGCCTCTTAGAAATGTCACCATCAGAGACCTTGGGCACTCTCCAACCGCCTCCAGCTCTCCACCTCTGTCCAGTCAGGAGGCTGAGTGGAATCCGCTTCTCCACCTCCAACCATGGGTCCTTGTCCCTGGCCCCTGCGATCATTTGCATCCAGGAATTGTGCCACACTGCTAGCCACCACTCTTATAGGGCTTCACTTTGGAACCAGCTTGGTGTGGATTTGTGTTGGGATTTAGTGCCCCACCATTGACTCCACCCTACATCTGTGATGAGCAGAGAGGTGACAGGACGCATGCCTCCCAGATTTGTCTCCAGAACTCACAGACAGGACCAACTGTTCTTCCTGTTAGTGCCAAAATAAGGCAGCAGTTGGGAAAGGAACAGAAGAAGTGTCTATGAATTAAGGGTATCACCGAGGGAGGGTGGAGGTGCCACCAAGGGAGAGCAGCCATGCCCACTCAGAACCGCAACCCCCTCCCCTGCTTCACCCAGCTCCATGTCAGTTGGAGGAGGATGGGCGTCTGGCCTGCCCAAGGTCTCTGAAGTTGGCTGGTGACTGAGAGCTGCCACTGCTGATGCAGCAGGTGCAGTTCAGGTCACAGTCTCCAGAGAGACTTTCACTGAGGCGACAAGAAGAGGCAGCTAGAAAGGTGGACAGTGACTCCACCTGGACAAACCCAGTTTCCACGCTGAACACAAAGGGTGCCCTGCAGACCCCATCAGGAGCTAATGGCGTGTGTGCACACACGTGAAAATGTCCAATGTCATTTTCACACCTTCGGGTCATCTCCGCCTGTGGCTTGGGCTCTGTGGTGTTATCATCCTAATGTTCCAGCTCCTGCTCAGAAGTGTGTACCTTCTTCCCAGTTCTTGCTGTTTGTCCCCAGTGCCAGGGCTGCGGTCATGAATGTCACGCTGGCAGCATTTTCTTTGCTGTGCTATTGGCTCCAAGCTGCCGCGTGATTCCCGATAGGGTGCAGCAGGCTCTCCCACAGTTATTTCTCTTTGTGTCCCATTACTTTGTGGGCAGACGTTTAGAATCTAAGCACCACACACAAGGAAGTCATTTGAAAACCTACGGGTACAGCTTACCATTGCGTCTTCAGGAACATTCTTTAGCAGCAGTCTTCGGTAGAACCACCTCAGGCTCCCCAGAGACACTGACCTGGTGTCTTGCTCAAATGTACTGCTTTCTGCATTTGGCGCTGGGTAGCCCTGGCACAGCTACTGTTTGTGCAGGCATCTCAGAGCTGGGCGCACAGAGGTGACTCGGAGGTGTTCTCCCTTTTGTGCTGGAGTATGGTTGCCGCCTCTGTATAAAGGCCCCGTTTATAGCAATCTGTGGTGTCATGGGAGACATACTTGCAGTGAGAGACCTCACAGTTCCAGGCCTCAGTGGGTGTGGCTGGGTATGTCTGGGTGTTCATCTCCTCTGCCCAGGGTCTGTCTCCCTGTATGAGCACAGAGAAGAGGGGACTGAATGAGAGACGAAGCCTTAGCTAAACCATGCCAGTGTGTTCGCCGGGCAGTTTCTCTCTTTTGGCAGAGCCCAGGCTGCGTCCACACTGCAGCTGGCCCGTCCCTGTTCGGCAGGCACACACATTGCTGACAGCACAGATACACAACTAACCACACACGCATCCCAACAGTGTCCACAGAGTTTTGATGAGGTGGAATGGTGTCTGAATCGAAGGAAGGGAGCTGTAATTAATCCCATTAGTTTTCTTTTTCTTCTTCCTTTTCTTTTTCTTTTTTAAATTTATTTTGGTGCTGGGAATCGAACTCAGGACCTTGCGCTTGCCAGGTGGGTGCCTGTGCCACTGAGCTGCATCCAGAGCCTTGGTTTGCTTCTTCTATTCATGTCCTAGAAGCATCTCCAGGCCCATCCTTTCCTGTTATCCCCGGCAACTCCTTGGCGCTAACTCATGGTTTGTGTTGTAGATTGGCGTCCGCAAGGTGTTTCTGAAGCACTGGCAGGCGGATCAGCTTGGGGACCTGTGCCTGCAGCTGCAGACACGGATCGTGACCTGCCAGAAAGGTAACCACTTTTCTGGGCTCGGGGGCCCAAGCTCCTCCTCACAGACCTGTGTTCCCGTCAGCATCAGCATCCTAGCAGATCCTGCTTCCAGTCTCTCAGAGCTCTGCTGGGGCCATCCTGTGGGGTGTTTGGGGAAACCTGGCCAGCAGGCCGCATACCTGTGTCAGTGTCCGTGTTTAAAGGCCCTGCCCATCCTTTACTGGATAGATTCCATGTGAAACTTTATGCTAAATTATCAACTAAATCCTTAGCAGGAGGCGGGAATCTACACATCTTGTCAGTGCACTGCCTACCTCGTAAACACCCGGGCGCATCTGTCCTTTTAAGAGGAGGGAGACATTAGGGCAGGGCGCACCTTGCAGTCTGCAGCAGAAAGAGTTCCCCCTGGCATTTGGGGGCCGGGGTGGTGCTGCTTCACCAAGCCCTTTCCACCGGTGTCTCCGGGTCGCCAGATTTTGGTGAGAAGATCCAGCCGGTTAGCCAAATCCCCTTTTGTGTAACTGCTCCTACACTGGGGAAAGGCCTTGAGTGTGCACTGCCTGGTAACACAGCAGCAGCATTTGCAGTGACGACTTCGTCATTGATGGGACCTTTGTCACGGTAACTTTGGGTGAGATTCCACTTTGGATTTGTCTATCAGAATCCAGGTGACTATGAATAAAGGTTACACTTTAAAAGACAACTATGCCTGACATAAAATGGATATCATTTATAGCTTATTGAATTTTCAGGCTGTCTGCTGGTTTTATTCCTTCCAGACAGGCAAAATAAGAAGTTAATCTGTGAGCTGGCTTTTGGTGTGATTTACAAGGTGGAATCGAAAACTTCAGGGAAAGTTTCTATAAAAATGTATTACAGTGAAAGACACATTACCATGAATCTGGCTTGAACCACGCCCCTACGCTCCAGAGGCTCCCATCCCATCCTTTTTGGCACTTTCTGAGGCAGTTCTAGAAGTCCTCTTTCGTGAATGTCCTTAGGAGGTGAGATAAAAAATATGGTGAAATCTACTGCACAGTGGGGAGGGCAGGCCAGTAAACACAGTGCGAGGTTGTCCTCACCCTGCTTATTAACCGGATCGGCGCCACGAAACTTCTAGTTTTCCTACAAAGTCAAAACATCCATGAAAAGTGAATGTTTTAAACCAGTTCAGGCACTGGAGGCACCCACAGCAGTACAACTAAAGACACTGAGGGCAGGGGGCTGGAGGTTTAGCTCAGCGGCATAAGTGCCTGCCTTGCAAGCAGGCAGTTGTGAGTTTGATCCCCGCTACCTATAAAAAGGAAAAAGACAAAAAAAAAAAAAAAAAATACACTGAGGACAGAGGCCTCCAGAATGGCTTCAGGGCGATGGGATAAGTGGTGCAAAGCCAGGGGAGGATTCTGAGAAGGACTCCAGGCAAGGCAAGGCACTGCTCACTGAAATACTTTTAAAAAGCTTAATCTTGACTGTATTCTTTGATCACTCGGCGTGTTGTGGACTTTGTTCCCTGATATATTTGAAACTCTTTTTCTACCACGGGAGCCTGCAAGGTTGCCAGTTTCAGGTTATCTTTTCAGTCTTCCGTGGACTCCTGTGGGTATGGCCTAGCGGGTCCCCCCATTTCCTATGATATCCATGCTGCACTGTACTGTCCCTCAGATGCCTCTGCTCTGAATTTAACATATCCGGGCAGCACCCCAGTGAGGGACCTCACTCCAAGCCCACACATCGCTGCAGAGTGTACTGGGACAGAGGCCGGCCTTGGTCTCTGCTCAGATGCCCCTACATCCCCAGGTGGAGGAGGAAGGACAGGAGGGGGACAGTCTCCCCTGGCACAGCCTCCTGGCTGGGGCCCATTCTGGTGGTCTAGTGCACAGCCAGGGGGCTCTCCAGTCACCCCATGCTGACACACAGCACCGTCCCCCTCATGTGCCCCTCAGGCCCTGCACATCCTCTGCCCCTCTGTCTCAGCAGGCATTTCATGGGAGAGACAGACTCCCTGACTCCTGCAGAGGTGCGGCTCCTCCTGCAGCAACAACATCGCCCTTTAGAGTCCTGCACTTTCAGGGTCAACCCAGGTCCAACAGCCACATGGCAGGCTCTTGCTGGTCTCCTGAAGCCACCTCCTCCACCCCAGGCCGGGGGACCCAGCCCTCACCTCTGGGTTCAGGATGGATCTTGTCTGTCTTCTCCTGGATCCCTGTAGCCTCACCCTTGATCTATGCAGGGGTAATCTGGGCCATGGGTCTGCCCTGGGCCTCCCCCAAACTGTGCACCCTGCAATGGTGAGGTCAGCCCTGCACCCGCCTACGTGGCACTGGAGTGCCTGCCTTACCTGGGGCTGGTTCGATGTGCAGCCTGCGCCCCGACTGCACCCTGGGGCTGAACCTGGATTTACACCCACACTGAGGCAGGGCCAAGGAGACGCCATGAGCGGAGGACACAGCACCCGAGCCAGCCTGGGAAGTCTGCTCAAATGTAGTAAGGGGCACCGGGGCTCTCTCTCCCTCAGGCCCCGGAGATTTCTCTTCTCTTTAGCTACAAAGATGAACTTGCTGCCCACAGCTGACAGGTAGCAGAGAGGTAAATGGGACTCCACCACCCTGGCTGCCTTTCAAAATGCGAAGATCGAAAATGATCTTGAAAACAATGTCCCAGTCAAAATGGTAATTTCATATTTTGCATAAATGAAATAATGGATATAAAAGCATTTTGAGTATTTCAGGCTTTAAGTGCAAAGTGTTATGGGTTTTATTTCTACACCCCTTAAGAGTGGTTCCTTCAGTGTATTTTGCTGATGCTAAGTTTACTCAAAATGCACACACCTGGGGTCTTTTCCAGTTTTTAAAAAGAGTTCCATTTTTTCCTCTTTGTAAATATTCAGAGCAAAGAAAGCTATAACTTTCAGTTTTAAGTCTGCTCATTACAGTTTTAGATGATTCCTGCGGTCAGTTATCACTGTCTCATCCTGGATGAATAACACCTAAAAACGAAGATCTCATTGTGATCGATATTGTAAAAGCAACCTTGGGATATAATCAGAAGGACAAATATCAATACTCATTGCTGGCATTCTATTTGTCTTGGTTGTCCTTTATTAAAGATGCCATCTTTGGGGCTAAGGGTACAGCTCAGCAGTACAGCGCCTGCCTGACAGGCGCAAGGTCCTGAGTTCAATTCCCAGCACCAAAGAAATAAATAAAAACCAAGAATCACCCTTTTAGCAACTTTTCTAACACTTTTAAAGAATTTTGGAAGGATGCTAGCAATGGACTCTGGGTGATGGCTGTGAGCCTTTGCCCGCTGGGGGTCAAGACATCTGGGGCACCCACCTTTGTTCTCCCCAGATTCCTGGGGACCGAGCACGACTCCTTCATCTTCTCCTGTAACAACAGCGAGCAGCTGGGCCAGCCACGGAACAGCCTTGCTCCTCCTTCCTCTGATGTCCCTGCCCCACACCACAGGCGTCCTCAGCTTCCTCGTGGCTTCTGTTCCCAGAGGCCTGGTTCCTCTGCTGCTGCTTAGATTTGATGCTCTTAGATTCATTCAGAGGGCCATTTTAGCTATCTGCATCCGTGCCCGAAGTTACCCCACAGGCAGCCTCACCATCTGGAATAGCAGCTCCCAGTCCAGACCTGGATCACAGGTGCCTGCACTGTGCCCTCCTAACTGGAAAGCCGCGTCAGCTTCCCAAAGGCAGCAGAGATCAGGGGTCTCTTCGATAACCCACCTGTCTGTCCTGTATAGTCACATTTACCTCAGGCGCTTAGGGTTTTCTGTCTCCCTCCCGCAGAGATGAGAATAACAGATCCCTTCCACACACGCTGGTGTTTCCTGAAATCAGAGTTTTTCTCTAACCCACAATTCCCCGTAATCTTAGCTCCTCAGAGCTGGAAGCGCTGGTGTCCCAGCCTTGGCTATTGCCTCAGGGCTCCATGGCCTGCACCTGTCCCAGCGTCCCTGGGAAGGGGCCACCGAGTTTGTGCTGCCCGTGGCCAGGGACCCATGCAGCCCCCTCTCAGGAGGGGCCCCTCTGCTCCCCACTGTGCTGAGGGCTCCAGGTCCCCCCTCCTGTTGACCCCACATGTGGCTCCATGCTGTCCCACCGAGAACTGCAAATCACATCCGTAAAACAGCAGGCTGAGGGGATGGAACAAGCCTTAGAAGCAAGCCAGACAGACAGACTTCAATCCCAGGTCTGCCCCTCCATGCTTCGCCTAGAATAGTGACTCTAAAAAAAAATCCCAGTGTCATTGTCCCCAAATGATGATGATCGTTTGTCATCCTTTGGCCTTGGTGTTAAACAACATAATGGACTGGGTTGCACACTCGGGCCTCAGGTACTGGTCTCTTATTTTCATTTTCCATTTTCACTGGGTACTCACATGTTAGTGATTTCAGAGCATTTGCACTCACACTTCCCTGACTTTTTCACATTTTCCTAGGTTTCCTTTCCTGCCTGGCAGGCACCATATTCTGTATTTCCACAAAATCTCCAGAGTCTGAGCCTGTGTTTCTTTCTAGGGGAATTAAGTCAATATCCTGCACTGAGAGAAGCATGACACTCCGTGGATCTTAGCTGTGACATACCTTCTCTGAGACAGCACAAAACAGCCATTGCTTCCTGAGTGGGATCCACTCCCCCAGCCTTGGGGTTTGGAGCTGGACCTTTCCCATCATTTTAACCACAGGCTGTCCTTGTCCAACTGTCACCAGACACAATGGGGCAGCCGTGAGCTCAGCACCCTGCAGGGGCTCCCCAGTCAGGGACCTCACCTGTCACATCACCTTGCCGAACTCAGGGGTTTTCTTAGTGTGCCACCACGGGGTTTAGTTCAGTTGAACTGCGGGCTACACGTCTGCATCTCAGGTCACAGCTTCAAGTTTTGTTTGCATGTTTGGCTTTGCCCCTTTTCCCTCCTTTCCCTGACACAGATCTGTGTTCTTTTGTGAAGTTATCAGAGGGTTTCTAGCCCGCCAACACCTGCTCCGGAAGATGAGTGCCAAGCAGCGGGAGCTGTGGAGGGTCAGGAGCTTCCTACAGGACACAGAGGACCTGGCGCTGCAGACCTACGACGCCCTGGTCATCCAGAATGCGGCAGACATTGCCCGGGAGAATGACCGACTCCGCAAGGAAGTGGGTGCTGCCCAACCCACAGACAAGGCGGAGGCCAAGGGCAGGCCCGAGGAAGGAGCCAGAAGGTAAGGGCTGAGCGGCCTCAGCAACTGGGTGAGAGGCCTCTGGGGAGCAAGACAGTGTTGACACAAACCTCAGTCACCCAAGGTTGGGCGCATACGGTACAATTTGAAACTCACTCACAATCTGGAAAACATTCTTCTGCACTTCCTTTTCATGAGTTAGATGCTGTGTGTGCAAGGTCAGTTGTATAAATAGTTGCTGCTTCCCCTGCCACTCTGCCTCTGTCCCTGAGCCCCTCAGGTCCCCCAGAGCTTTGCCGCTAGCCCCTCTCTTTCTGAGACAGCAAACACACAGCTGGGCCTGCCATCCTCACACAGGTGTGATGCATGCACAGGGTGGAGATTTTGGGAAACCAGGCCAAGGAGTTAAGATGCCACAGGGAACAGGAAGGTCATGAAGTCAGTAAGTGGACTGTAGAGGTGCCTCACACCTCTCATCCCAGCCCTCTGGGAGGCTGAGAAATGAGGGTCCAAGTTCACACCCACCCTGGGCAACTTAAATGAGGCTGTGTCTCTCAAGATAAAAGAATTTTAAAGATGAGCTAAGGATATAACTCAGTGCCCTGAGATTTATATGCAGAACCAAAAATTCACATACACACCCACACGCACACACACCCACATGCACACATGCACATGCACACACATGGGGTTGGCTGTATATTTCCTTTTATAAATGGTTACATGTTCTGTGCCAGTGTAGACAGCTGTAGAAAATAAAACACTTTTCAAGTAGAAGTTCACTTGGGATGTGGAGCCTGCAATAGAAGTCTGGGTCACACAGGGCTCTTGTTCTGTCATGGTTTCCTCCCCAGGAAGGCTGTAGGGCAGCTCAGTCCCCACTGAGGGGCCCTGGGCAGACACTGGGCTCCTTCTCCATCACCACCTGCTCAGGGGATTTGCACTTTTCCCCAGGAACGGGACGTACCTAGATTCGTTCCCAGAGCCCCTCTCCTTTGCTACAACTGCCTATGTCAAATGATTTTTTGTTGCTGCTAACATGGAAAAGCCAAAGTGTCTCTTGATAATTAGCCTCAAATATCTCAGTGATTAAATGCTGGGGAAAAAATTCCCTTTGTACAGAAAACTGTAATTAAACATCACAGGGAAAACAAATTATCCACTGAGTGCCACATTCCCATCTTCTGCAACTTCATTTTCTACACGGGCGACCGGCTGTGCCGGGTGACGGTTCCAGCCCTGTCGGGGCTCTGCCACGGAAAGACATAATTAGAAAACTATGCTCGGAAACCCCTCGCAAACAGGCACACTGGCATCTCGCTAGTATGTGATTACTTTGACAAGTGAAGCTAGAAGGAACTTTATACAGCAGATAACTACTCATTTTAAATGACTCCCAAAATAATATTTATTATTTTCTCTGCTGGAACCACAGAGTCACCCCAATTTCTCCATTGCATTATGTATTTGTTTGCCTGATGGGAAATTAAGTGAAGACACATTTGTCTATTTATTTCTTGAATACCAGCAGTTCACTTGGCACCAGGCAACCAGACGGAGTAACAGGAAAAATAATAGTTTTGTGCATAATTAAATAATTGATGGTGGAATTTAAGTGGTAAGGAAGGGAGAGGGGAGATGAGCAGAGGATGTGACATGTGAATCTCTGGTAGTTCTGAGAGGCCCAGGCGCTCTTTTTATGAAGGGAAGTGGTCCAGGCTGGAGCATCTGATGCCTCAGTAACCCCCTATTAAGATGAATTTCCCAGAAATTATCAAGCAGATTGAAAGTCTGACTTGCTGATTTGCTTCAGAACCAGAGTGTGAACAAGTTGTGGGTGCCTGCTGGGGACAGGAGGAGGATTAGGCCGGGAGGGAGCTCACACAAGGGTGTGCAGTGTCCAGTGTGCTCATATACCCCAGCAACCCTCCCTGGTGGCAGGTCCCCAGGCAGCTGTCTGCACACCTTCAGCCATCAATGTCACGGAGCATGGGTTCACTGTTGTCCCCAAATAATGTACCTGGGCCTCTCTGGTCTGTGCTGTCGTTGTTGTTTCCCCTAAGAGCTGAAGACCAGAGTGGATCCTGGCATGCACATTCCAGCTCGGTCCCCGTCCTGGTGGCCGTGGACAGCCTGGCCCAGGCCCTCACGGGGCCGTCCACCCGGCCTCTGTCTCTGCACCCTGCATTCAGTGTGGATGACAGCAGCGGCCTCCCATCACCACGGAAACAGCCTCCGCCCAAGCCCAAGAGGGACCCCAACACTCGGCTGAGTGCCTCGTACGAGGCCGTGAGTGCCTGCTTGTCCGCAGTGGCCAAGGACCCAGCTAGTGACGGTGAGCCCAGGGCCCTGGGAACCTGTGGTGGTCGGGGTACTGAGGTTCTGACTTCTGGATGAGTTGCGGTCCCCGTATATTCTCAGTAGAAATCAATCCAGTAGCTGCCTTGCTAGCAGCCCTGTAACCACTAAGTATAAATATTAGCCATGCACATCTCCAAGCCTCTCAGGGAAAAGCTCCTTAAGTGCCCTCTGCATCTCACACCCCGTGCCCTATACCCACCCCTGTAGTGAGCCTAGGAACAGACTTCATGTGCAGAGTTGGTCGCTGATCTGTGTAAATACTCATTTAAAAGTCCCTAAATCTTCATCTTGCTTTCCTGAGATCACAGTCTCACTGAAAACAAACGCCGCTTCTTCATGGGGTGAGTGACACCTACAGGAGAATCACTGTGACCAAACTCAGACGGCAGAGTCTGGGGATGAGATGGCAAGGTTGGGGGGCCATGTGCACCTAAGGAGAAGCCCACAGCTCTGCAGCTTCGGTTTGGGGGTGATCAATGCACATGGCCCGAGACTGTGACAGAAGGTAATGTTGGGAGGAAAAAGGATGAGCTCAAGATAAAATGGAACTGGGGCTCCACACTGAAGTCTCAGGAGACCAGAGCTCTGTGTCTGCTGCAGTGGCAAATGCCTGTCAGCCTAGCATTTCAGAGGTTGAGGCACAGGGTTCGAGACCAGTGTGCCCTACAGAGTGAGACACTGTCTCAAAAACAAGACAACAGAAAAAGGCAAAATGACAAAAAGATAAAGCAAAACCACAGATTTAAAACTTTAAATTCGTTACTCCCATTCATAAAACACCATGCAGTCTCATCAGACGTGAAAGACGTTTATGGAAAATTCCATTTATCGGGACCTAATTTCACTCCCATGTGACCATCAGGTGGCTGAGAACCCTGCTCCCCGCAGGAGCTCAGGTCTTTAAAGCCTGTGAAAAGCTAACACTATTTCCTCTTCATATTCTGCCTCTCCTGGTCTTTCTTGCACACAGTTTCTAGTATTGGCTACTTTGTAACCCCAAATAAAGTCTTAGTTTCCTTGGGCTGAGGATGAGTTTCTGCATTTTGGAACATGCTCAAAATGGATTTTTATAAGAAAATTCAACCACATGACCATGTTTGCTGCTCGGGTTTGGAGTTTTATTAAGTCAGAAATTGCCGCAGGGACACAGGCCCTCAGTGGATCTGTGTTCTGGATTTCTAGTCCGTGGTCACAAAGGCAGCTCCACCATGAGATAGGCCAGTGGCTGGCAGTCACTCTGGTCCCGTCAGGGCCAGCGGGAACCATGGTGAGGTGCCCGCCCCGCTTTCAGCCGCAGGATCTGTGGTCTGATGTCACGGAGCCTGGGTCAGTGCAGCTCCGCATGGGGTTCCTCCACCAAGGCCAGCGCCAGCCAGCGCCTCTCCACGAAGGTGCCCGAATTGCTCCTTCCATCAGGTGGCGCCACGCCCCTGCTTTTGGATTGGGCCTTTTATTTAGGGGGATCCAACTGGGTTTTTGTTTTGAGTTCTTTATATATTCTAGATACTAGTCTTCTAAAGAATGGCTGGTAGAGATTTTTAAGAAATCTTCTGCATTGTTGGAGCGAAATAAACTAGGTGTTGTATTCAGGGGTTGTGCAGAGAACAACTAGAATCAGGACATGGAGTTTATAATATTATTTTTATAATGGTCACTGGGAGTTAACACAAGAAAATGCAGGGACTCTATCCACAACACCAAAAACATAGAATATTCAGCCTAGGGCCTGAATCCCACAGCAATGTCCCACATGAGCCCAGATGAAGACCCAAAGTTCATGACAATGCCTCCCACGAGTCCAACTGGAGGTCCAGAGCCCACAAGAAAGACTCATGCCAGTCTCTTTTACGGATCCATGCCAGGAAGCCCAAAGGTCAGCAGTGGAAGGCCAGAAAGTCCATGCCAGTGGGGTGAAGCAGCTGTGCTGGTGAGATGAAGGTTCTATGCTAGAGTTGAGAAATCACACACATAGCAAAAACCAGTGCTGTCATGAAAGGCACCACAGCCATTCTCAGCAACACGGAGGCCCTGAGCTCCTCCAAGACAAGCACAGTCAGATACGTGCCAGGAAGCCAGCGTGAGGAGTTCATCCTGGAGACCAAGCAGCACACATCTTCCTCTCCGGAGCCAGAAAGCAATGCTTGATGTAAGGACCAGAGCTTCTCCAGGAGAACCAGCAGCTCAAACAGCAACATGTAGGAAAACCCACAAGTCCTCAACACCTTAACACAGTAACACATTAACGCCTTCCTTCTCTTTCTCCTTCTATTTATGCTGGTAACTTTCCTCAGGTGGAGAATCTTTGCTCAGTGCCATGCTGATGTAATCCAGCTGGTGTTAAGTTGACCACCAGATCTTAATCCATAATACTATGACAACCAGTGTGGGAGTCAGTATAGAGATCCCTCAAAAGCCCAAAACTGGAAATTATATTCAATGCAGCTCTTCTTTCAGATATCTTCCTGAGAGTTAAAGGCATCATACCTTAGTGGTCCACGCACACCTGTGTTTATAGCAGCCCAGCTTGGAGTAGCCAAAGCTTGGAAGTAGCCTACATATCCATGGATGGATGAACTGATAAGAAAACTCATATTTACATATGACGGAATACTACTCTGCCATAAAGAAGGATCCACTTTGAGACCATAAAGCTAATGAACACAAACTTAAATGTTGCATTTTTTCTCCTATACAAGAAGCTCAAATTATAAATAAAGAGTGAAATCAAGGATAAATAATAGGAAGCGGGGAGAGATCTCTTGCAAAAGGGAGGGGACCAAGAGATGGAGGGGGAGGAATAGGGGAGGGAAGGGGATGAGGAAAGAGTGGAGCTGTGTTCCTTACCTGTGCCAGGTCACAACAGAGTGTGACCATTCTGTACTCCAAACAAGTGCAATTAAATAAAAAGTGGGCCTTGGGCCTTCTCGGGGGTCACGTGGTCACCAGCACGATCTGTCCCCTGATACAGCCAGTCCTCCCTGGCAGTTCCGACTCCTCCCCCTCCATGGTCACCAGTGGCAGTGCTGGACCTTCTGCTCGGCTGTAGTTTGCAAAGCCTCCCCGTTTGTGTGGGTGGTGGGGGGAGAGTCCGACCGCTGAATGCCTGCGAGCAGCCTCACCACATGGAGCACATCAAGGCGGCCCCAGTTAGACCTCTGCTGACCCACATGGCCACTGGCACTCCGAACACCACAAGCAGCCAGGCATGGGACAGGACACCGTGTGGGGACTCACTCTCCCTGGAGGTCATCACCCACTGAATGGCTTTCAGAAACCCTCTGCAAGCTGGTGATAAGCCAGACACCAAGGCCCACGCTCCTTCGTGACAATGGTCCTTTCCTGGCCCCTGCTGCCACTGCTCTGTTTGCCCCAGGCCACAAGGAGCAGCCAGAGGTCTGCAGAGTCCCTGGCTGGGACTCAGCACAAGTGGCTTCTCCCATATTTCACAGTGACACTCGAGGGCTTCGGCCTCCACCTGCCTTGGCGTACTTTCTCTCCCGTCTCACTTGATCTAACCTGAGGGCCACCAGGCCTATCTGGAGGCTCCTCCAAGGGCCTGGGGTTTCAAGTCACACAAAAAGTGCCGAGTTTTGTCTGCTGCAATTATGGGCACTGAACCCAGGGCCTGCATGCGAAGCCACATCTCCAATCCTTTTAGTCTTGTACTGGAAGACCAGCTCCCACTGAGGCACAAAACTGCCCAAACGTGGTCCATCTTGCGATCGCCCTGTCTCAGCCTCCCAGAGCGCAAGGGTGACAGGCAGGTACCACCACATCTGGTGGAAATTCAAGATTTTTCCAGCTGTAATCCACTTCCAGCACCGGCAGCCTCAGGGTCAGGTGGTCACCCCCACATACACACACACACACACACACACACACACACACACACACACACACAGTGTCCTCTCTGGACAGCCAGGGACCCTCCCTGGCCAAGGCTCCGAAAGGCATGGCAAGGCTGGAAACACCAAGTCCAGCGTGGAAATCACCGCCTGCCACAGCGCCTATAAACAACTCCGTCCCAGAACAACTCTAAGACATCCAAAGGCTGAGGCCGGCAGGCACCTGCTGTCTCCCGTCGGCAGCTCCTTGGTCCTGGAGTAGCTGTGACCTGTGTGCTGGACGCTGGGAGACGCTCCCAGTGGCAGACCTGGGAGCCTCATGTAGTTCATTTCCCGGGGGGCTACACCCTTTCCAAGCAGTGAGCCCCAGCCCAGCCCGGCACGCTACAGACTAAACCTGCAGGTCCTGCTCCCTGAGCAGAGGGCTGTGTCACCGTGTCAAGCCGTCTACACTGAGACCAAGCAGTGACAGGTCCCCAGGGGTGGGCGCTGGGACCCGCCCAGCCTGTGCCAAAGCATCCCTGGTAGCCCCGGACGACAGGGTTAGGTTAGGAACCCTAGAAGGGCAACTCCAGCTATGCCCAGTCCAGCCTCACTGAGCAACCCTGCTAACCTTCCCTCTCTGTCTGACTTCCTGCTTTAGCTCTGACAAGGCCCAGGCCTCACAGCGATGACTACAGCACCATAAAGAAGATCCCCCCGCGAAAGCCAAAGAGAAGCCCCAACACCAAGCTCAGTGGTTCCTACGAGGAGATCTGGGGTCCAAGGCCCCCAGGCATGGCTGTCCAAGCAGGTGCACGCCAGGCCCCAGGGACCCCAGGTGTGCCACGGACCTCACCTCAGTGCGCCGCGCAGCTGCCACTGCACCTGCCCTTGCCACCAGGGGAGGACGACGACGAAGACGACGCTGAGCCTGTGTACATCGAGATGGTAGGGAACGCGGCCAGGCTCGGGGGCCCCGAAGCAGACAGCCCTGAGCAGGGCGAGTCTGTGTACGAGGAGATGAAGTACTTCCTGCCCGAGGACGGCTGCAGCCTGGGCTCCTGGCTCCCCGCTCCACGGGACGGGTGCGACATCCCGGCGCCCTTTCCCAACCTGCTGCCGCACCGGCCGCCGCTGCTGGTCTTCCCACCCGCGCCGGCCACCAGCTCGCCGGCCTCGGACGAGTCCCCGCTGACGCCGCTGGAAGTGGCGCGACTGCCGGTGCTGGAGCCCAGCCGCAAGTACCCGCTGCAGGCCGAGCCCACCAGCCCCGGCTCCCCGCAGCCCGCGCGGGCGTCCCCCGGCCCCGGCGCCGTACCGTCCCCTCCGCCCGCGCCCGCGCCCGCAACCGCAACCGCAACCACGCCGGGCAGAGCGGGGTCCGGGTGCGAGTCTGGTTCAGACCCAGCCCGGTCGCAGTCCAAGCCCGCGGGAGCGCCCTGCTCCCCGGCCAGGCCGGCGCGCGCTGAGCCCCGCAGGGGCGCCCCCAGCCCCGGACCCGCGGGTGCCTACAGTCCCCCAAGCTGCCGGCCGCCCTGCAGCCCCCTGGATGAGCTCAGCACCCTCTTCAGCTCGGGCCGCCCGGTGCTGCGCAGGTCAGCGGCTGGGCGCCGGATCCGCGAGGCCGGAGGTGAGCGGGACAGGGTCCACGCTGTGCTCGGGCAGCGTGCATGTGTGCGTGGGCATGGTGCAGACTGTGAGTTCCCGTAAGGGCATAATATATGCAGTGCTTGCGTGTGTGTCCAGAGCATACACGTGTTCACACACGGATACAGCAGGTACTGGGCATGCATGTGTGTGTGCGCACCAGTGCATAGTACATACTGTGTGCATGTGGACGCGGTGTAGGCAGCGGGTGTCTGTGCGTGCCTATGGACGTAGCATACAGTGTGTGTGCATGTGTACAAAGTATGTGCTGTGTGTGCATGTGTTCATAGTGTGTACCATGTGCACAGTATGTACTGTGTGTGTGTATGTACGTAGCACCGTGTATACTCGTGCGTATTACACAGGTATTGGGTGTGTGTGCACAAACATACATAACCCCGTATGCAGCATATACATGGCATATACCGTGTGCACATATGTGCTGTATCAAAATGAGATTCCTGTTGAGTGGGGCTGAGAAGGTAGGCGATTTCGCCTCTGTTTGCAACTGTGTAAGACATTAAAGCCTCATTCTAGAGAAGCACTTTGCATGCAAACTGATTTAACCTGTTACAACATAAAAAGTGCTAGAGCAAAGTTATGTTAGCTATCGGCTTTTTCTGCATTTCCTTGCAATGAGGAAACATTTTTTGTAAGGCGTCGCTTCCGACATCCGTGTGACTCACACAGCACCACACCCGGGACACCCCATGCCTTGCACATAACTCACCCACCTGCCTCCTGGGGGATCCTCACTGGTGCAGTCCTGACCCACCTCCAGCGTCCTTCCCTTTTTGCATTGCCATGAGTGAGTCCTCTCGGCCTGCCCGAGGGCCACCCCAAGTCCATCCTGCAGGAGAGGCATCCTTGAGCCGCTCAGCCTGGGGCAGAGTTTGACACCTCAGCACTGCTGTTTGCAGCCTGAAACCAGGCCTGTGGGAAGCGTCTATTTTGCACCCCTGCGAACGCAGAATGTAGCAGGCAAAAAGAAAGACAAACTTCCTGGGCAGATATTTTTCTAAACCCTTGTAAGGGGCTCATCCAGGGCTGCTTCATTCCGAGGAGAGCCAGACACGTGTGGTTGCTGTTTCCCTTGAGCACAGAGCCCGAGGTCACTTACAAAATATGTACTTAGGGCTTTTATACAAAAGCAAAATATTTCTGCAATACTGCATCCTACATACGAGAGAAGACAGTGAAGGAATCCTCACATTGGGACGCGATGGAAGCAGCACACTTCCGCTCTCCATGGCTGGGGATAAAACTTCTGGGTCAGAGGTTAATAACTTCCGAGGTCAGCATTAGGACCGGAAATGAGCATCTCCCCTATGCTGTACCTTGGTATGCACACATTAACCCCTCTTTCTTAAAAACAAAATACATAAACATTTACCCGTCCTCATTTGACTAAGAAATTAATTTAGGTAGAAACACTAGGAAATTCAGGAAGTGGTTTAAACAAGTGCAGCTGGGTCAGGCTAAGCACACTTGGTCAGTGCCGACCTGCCCTGTGTTTACTCTGCACACCTGTGAGCTAATTGTCCGTATACCCAACCATTTCTTCTTAATTAAACATCATGAATAAATGAAATTATACTTGGAAGTAGTGACTGCATTTCACAAGATTTTGTATTCCTAGGGCCAGAATGAAATCTAAGGGGAAAATCATTAAATAAATTGATTTTGGAACTAAAAGTTCATTAAAATCCCATAAACTCCATTTTACTATAGGTCATAACTGGGTGCATTCTTAATTCAGCTGTATTTGGGGAAGGGAAGCTAATGAATTTCTCGGCAGAACTCTCACAGGTGGAAATTCCCAAGTTTGGGGCACAGAGAAAAGTGAGAATTACTGAGGCTGTGAACCCTGGTGTATAATTTGCTAATTATATTTCCCTACAGTGATATCAATATCAAAACTTCAAGTATTTGAACTAAAAAATTAGCAAGACATGTCTTTTTCTGTTGTGGGCTTTGACAAAATACTGTGTGATTTGGAAAAATGGTTTGCACCATTTTGACCGCAGCTGTAAGGATACAAAGCTTGGCACCATGAGAAGAGCCATTCCCTGCAGATCTGGGAATTTCCAGCACACTGTTGAGAACTCTGTAACTCTGTGTGCTTGTTGAGGGGGTGAGTTTGTAAGTTTGTATGACGGTGATATTAATCCTTCATATTGTAAAAGGAGCTAAAGGAAGACACGGAAAAAAATTGAGCCCTAAGTACTAGAGCTGCTTATATGATTATTAAGGTTTACATAGTTTGATCCTCGGGTGGGTAATCCATTTTCCTCCAAATTAATTGAATGGCTGATTTACAGCATTTCTGATTTACTACAGCCTTGGGATTTCCTCCCTTTAAAGTTTTAAATCTTCTACTTTACCCTCTTTATGTCTAAAGGCATTTTATCTTCATCTGAAATAACTTACTTACCAAATGCTCCAGTGTGGCTAATCCTTCCTCCAAGCACTTAAATTAATTACAGTTCCTTTCTTGCACCTTTTTGGCATAGGAAACTTGTTCTACAGATTTTGCACAAATTTCAGGATGTTCACCTTGCCCCTTTGGAACCATGACACATTTTCACCCTCCCATTAACCCTGGTGTTGGTATCTCCTGTTAAAATGTAATATGCTGTAGCATGGTATAAGCTCTGCATGGGAGAGGAAGTTAATTCTCCCGTGGATAATTTTCCTGGGTGGTTCCAGAGACTTGTGCAGAATTTCACAAATACCATGCTCCTCAAAGCAGTTCCATTTCTGCAGACTCTCTGGCCATGTACTTTGGGAAATATAAACTCACACCAGTTCTGACATCCAAAACACACATCCAGAAAAAGAAGTGATTGTGCAAATATATGTGTGGCTGTGGTCTGCAAAGGGTGACACTAGCAGCCCAGAATGGTTATTCTGTATCACATTCCAGGCACTGTTCTTAGCCATATGGCAGATTCTTGCACTGCTGTAAGGTGTGTGCTATCTTTATGCACCTTTTTCAGTTGGGGAAACTGAGGCACCAAGAGGTCAGTCAGTTTGCTGGCAGTTCTATTCACGAGCAACAGGCTATGACCTGAGTGCTGACATCTGTCTCTGTCACTGTCCTCCTAACTGCCCAGGTAGGGCTGCCTGGAGTGCAGAGGGAAAACACAGGAGGAAGTTTTCAAAAGTCCGTATCTGTTCACTGAGGTACAAGTGAGAACCCTGGAATTCAGAGGGAGAAAATTGCTTCGTAAACCAAAGGAGGTCTCACATGCACTTGATGGGCCATGGGAACTGGAAATACCCTAGAGCACAGTGTGCCTGCATCCTGCCCCATAGTAAAAAGGATTCAGGGCGTGGACAGCGGGCTCCAAGGCAGGGCCATCATGGTGTGGGGTGTGGGGAGCAAAGCTGCTCACCTCATGTCATCCAGAAAGCAGAGAGGGGAGGGAGGAACTAGTTCCGGGGTGTGCTCAGTTTAGAAGCCCTTGAGACCCAAGCGAGAGGGCGAGGAGCAGAAAGAAGCACTGGGGCGCGCTTTAGCTCTGAGTGTATCCAGTCTGAGGTTGAGTCCATGCTGCAGGCTGGGAAGAAATGGACTCCCTGTTCTCCACTCAGAGGAGAGGTCAGGCAGATGGGGCGATGCCGAAGCCCAGCAGTGTCTGCAGAAGAAAGTGGTAGAGTGAAGTGTGCGGTTAAGGAAAGGTCTGAGTGGTAAAGAATGTTCTTTAAATCAAGTTTTATTATTTTGACATTGTGTGCTTCACTAATAAAATTGAATAAGTACATTACCTTGATGCCCAAACTGTGATATGCCATGCTTCTTCTCATGTACCAGGTGGATTAAATGGATGTTTGATGGGAAGTCTTCCTGATAAAACAATTCACGTAGATTGGATAGATGTAGCCCCAGGGGCATTTTTATGGAATAGAACTTATGAAAATGGCTATTACTGGATTTTTATTTTTGTTTTGTTTTATTTTTGTATTATTTTTGGTTTGTTTTCTGAAGCAGAGTCTCTCTATAAAGTCCCAGTAGGACTTGAATTTACTGTGTAGCTTAGGCTGGCTTCAAGTTCATTCTAGGGGTCCTGCCTCAGCCTGTGGGGTGCTAGGGTGATGTGCGTGTAGCCCAACTGGCAATTGCTGCTAATTTCGGTTGTTTTTTATGCTTATGTAAACATGCCAAATAGGAAGAGTTCGAGTCTGGTAGTCAGAGCCTCCTGTTTACCAGCTCGTCACTGTGGGCGCTCCCGGGGAACACTCTCCGCCAGCACCTCTCTGTCCCTGGCTGCAGGAGACCTCTGTGCACAGCAGAAGTTGGGAACCACAGCATCATTTCTCATGGTGCAAACACAGCAGCTCTCCGGGGCTGGTGCTGGCCCGGAGCGCACACACCTGCAGGAGCTTCCACTTGGTCCTCGGCGACAGCCCAGGCTTGGGCAGCAGTGGAGAGCCTTCCCCTGTGGGGACCAGTGTGGGATTCAGGACTTCTGGTAGACCTGAGTGTGCACCAGTGAAACCCAAAAAGAATTGTAGCCCCGTCTTGAATGGAACCAGCTATGGGAGGCCTTGCAGGTCAGCAAGGAGGTCAGCACAGCGCAGTTATCTCTACTTCACCAGGGCCGAGCAGCCCAGTGTGCTGGCACTGCACAATGGAGGTGCCCGCAACCACCATGCCAGACTCAAGCCCAGAGCTGGCAAGTGCTTGCCCTGCCCCTGGTGTTGGGAGCAGAAGCCCGGATGTCACGGTCACTTAGTCTCTGACACATTGGACCAAGATTGAAGCAGGAGAAATCAGTTCACCTTGGGCACCTTCGGTGTTGCATAATAGGATGCAGAGCAGATCTTGGGGTGCTCTGTCCTGTCCCAACAGCTAACCTTTCTTACTTCCAATGATCTGATGATTGTTCCTGTGATGATGTGCATATGCGTGGGGGAGGCCTAAGGGCTCCTGAACAAGATGAGGGCTGTAGGGGACGCAGGGTCCACCCACCTGAGGTT